GGAAACACATGCTGAGATAGTGAAGCTAGTATATGGAATTAACATCTTACTACTTCTGCTCATGTTTCATTGATCAATTTTGTGTATGTGTGTTGAGGCCATATTTAGCTGCAGGGGAGATAATCCATAGTTATATGGTCATAAGCTTAACAAAAAAAATGATAGAAGAAACAGAAAAGACTTGGGGTGACAGCTAGCGGTCTGCCCTACTAGGAAATACTGGCTTGATAATAGTGTAAAGGAGAAACAACTTCTATTTTAGATATTTACTAATACCTAAAATTAATGCACCTGAGTAGGCACTTATGTCAGGTAAGCAGTACTTACTCTGTGCTAGGCACTGTTGTAATCAGTTTGCAAGTATTGGCTCAATTCTTATAATGATCTTAAGGGTAGGTACTCTTATCACCACTTTACCATTTTATAGAAGAGGAAACTGAAGCACTTAACTGTTGCCCAGGATTACACAGTATTTGTGGAGCTGGGATTTTTGAATACCCAGGCTTGTGACTTCAGAGGTTTTCCTCCTAAACCTCTACTCTCTGCTGTGCCTCTGTGTATAAGGTTGATACTTGCAGAATTGTTTAAGGAATTGAAAACTAAAACGTACATTTGAATGGGATTGGCTAACTAAGGAATGTCACACTTTTCTTGTGCTGATCTGTACATCCAACAGAAGTTTCTCCTAACAGTGTAAGGGACAGCATAATTGAAGTGCATGACAACCCCTAAAATAAGGGCAAGAAAAAACTAATTTAAAAAGTTAAGGAAAACTAATACTAAAAGTTCTATATGTGCCAGTATTTACAACAAGTATAGTGTACTTAATAGAGCTCATACAGTTTGGGGAGGAAAATACTCTAAATAGACAACATATGTGGATAGTAACTGTTAAGCTTTATAAAGCAAATTTCAACTGAGTATGGCCTGTCAAATTGGCAGAAATTTTAAAAGTACAGCAATTATTCAATGACACCTTTTTTATAGTGCTGGTGGAAGTATAAATTCATGGTTTTCTATAAAGTTGAACAATAAGTTTTGACATTTGGTGAAATCCTAATTTTTAGAATTATAGTTACAAGAAGTGAGGTAAATAGAATTAATATAATATAAACATGTATATGGTGCTCTGAAAATCTAGGTATCTGGTACATAATCAAGTATACTCACCCAGATTACTAGGACAATTTCAGGTTGCAGGTAAGTAGCCTGAGCATAGTTAGTCCAGTGAAGAAGCAACATACATGAAATGGTGAGTACTAGCTAGGTTTCTTCAACTCTTTGTTGATAGTGTGGGTGTATACAGAAGGGCCCTACATTTTTAAAATACTGTTTAGTGTCAAGGGGTTTGAAGCTTACATAATTCAGAGAACCCTCTTTAAGGAAAAGAGTATGTAATTATGAGTACTAAATTAGACATAAAAGGGGGTCTGTTGAGAATGAAAAGGAAGTAAAAAATTACAATTTTTAAAATCAAATCTCCGAACTTCAGAGATGATTCCATTTAATAACTGATTCTATATTTTTAGCTGCATACTCTAGTTGCTTTGTATGACAGTGATTTGTATTGCAGTATAGTTCATTCTTTAGTTGATCAAAATGTTTTTTGATAGCTAATGTGTCCCCTCAAAACAAAATATAATCCAGTGTATTTTTGACAATGAGCTTCC